GCGGGCATAGAGCGGGTGCCGCACACTAGACCCCAATGCGATTCGATGTCGAACCAACCCGATTCGAAATTTCGAATTATTCGACATCGAATCAGGCAAATTTGAAATCGAACGAATTCGAATCAGGCCGATTCGATTCGATTCGATATCGAGCAATTCGCACAGCTCTACCATGAAGGAGCACGATAGTGGAAAACTGCAAAGTGCCAGTAATATCCTTGATAGAAGTGCATTCTATCTGCATCATAACATTACTGGAATGTTTATGTGGAAATAGTTTTTTTTTGATTTCCTGAAAAGTATAGTTTTTGGACTTATCCCCTTCTTCCGCTTCGCCATTCAACTAACGTCAAGGTACAGGGTTAGTGCGGGAGTGGGTGCTTCAAATGATAACGCGTACACGATTTGAGAATGCGTCATAGCGGGGCAGGATGTCTCTCAGCCGACCTATCCGGCCAGAAGGACCTGCTATCGCTATATAAAGGAGCTGCTCGGCCAAGACAGCATCAGTTTGCAGAAGCAGCACTGCCAACAATGAAGACTGCCGTGATCCTCGTGGTGCTTGTAGCGGCGGTAAGTACTCACTTGCCTACTCTTCATTACTTCACTGAGGGGCTCAGCTGATTGAGGGGCATAGTCCACTGCGAAGTGATGTTCCATCTTGGTACCTCGAACGTTTAAATGAGCAATTACGGTAACTAGCATCGGACTTCTGTGTGCCTAACTGAGGTCAGACAGTATCTTACTCAATTGTTACTTACAATAACGTATCTGAATTTAGTTAGCCTATAAACACTGAATTATTGTTCTAGTTACAGTTCGGTCTAGAGACCTCTATCATAAATTACGCGCTGTAAGTTTATAAAACCAGGAGTCCTGATTTATGAAGTGACAAAACGAAAAGACAACGAGTGAAACATTTCAGTTAACGTAAACTTAAAATGACTGTAAAATTCTTGCAACATTCAGGAAGTAAATGATTTCAGTTATCATTTAGTTTTTAAATGTGTCTCGTTTCATTGTAAATGAAAACTGTTTACTGTTTCATTTATCTCCCCTCCCCATCAAGGGATATGGTGGGACTACAAAAACGAGTCGTTGGGCGTTCCTGCCCCTGCCCGCAGTCTCGCGCTCGTTACGTTTAATTCTTACCCCTCCCCCCCGTCTCCGTCGCCTCATCACACTTCTCGCTTCCACCGCGTCGCCCTTGACGGCCGCTGTCCCGTCTCGTCCCGTGCCGCGCGGGTCACACGCGGCAAGCCGGCGGGATTGCAGTCCGCCCCGTCCGCGGGCGTTAGCAGGCGCGCCCCTATTAGCGGCTGGGCGAGAGGGTGGATGGGCTGAGCGGATTACACCCTTTTCCCTCGTGCCACGGTAGTGCCCCTCTTCCCTGCCTTTTCAGCTGGGTAAAAGGAGGAAAAAGGCGGGGAGGGAGGGGGGGGCGAAAGTAAAGCTTATACCAAGCAGCTGCTGGCTGCTGGGCAAGGAATGAAATATTTCGCCCCGCCTACCGTTGCCCTGGCCTCTGCTCTGCCAGGGAATCAGGACGAAAGCTTCACCCCGGTCCATTCGACTGGCCTGCATATGTTCATTCTCTGTGTTTCGCCTTACAGATCTGTCGCCTGGGGGAGGCAGTGAGGGGGCCCCGGACACCTGCGGAGCTCCTGCGCATGTCCAGGTACCCGAACCTGCTGGGCGGTCCCACGCCCAACGACGCCGTCTGCCTGAACACGACTCGTAGCTGCGCCGACTGCACCCACGTCAACCTGTGCGCATACGTGGGCGGCCATTGGTCTTACCTGCAGACGTCAAGCTGCCCAGACTCCGCGCCTTTCTGCAAGGACGGCCAGTGCATCAAGGAGGACACGGCGGGTTGTAACCTGCCCCCCGTAAGCAGCGACTTCCGCTGCTATCCCGGCTTCGACGGCTACTACCCCTCACCCAACGACTGCGCCAAGTACTACGTGTGCTCCAACAGTGTCGCCTACGTATACAACTGCCAGCAAGATCACATCTACTCGCAGGCGCGCGGCATGTGCGTGCGCAAGGACACCGACCCCGAGGCCTGCTTCACGTTCCCTTGCACGCCCGGCGAGGTGTCATACCACCTGTACAGGCCCGACCAGGCCATCTACGGCGTGTGCACTGACATGGGTGTGTCCGTGAGCAGGTGCCCGACGGCAAACTACCGCATCGACCCGGAAAACCCTTTCAGCCCCTGCACGGCGTACTGCTCGAAACAGGGCCGCATTCCCGACATTGACGATCCCCGCAAGTACTACGACTGCAACCTGGTGCCCCTGAACAGGAGGACCCCCGACTGCACTCGCTGCTCAGCGCCGGGCACACTCACCGACCCCGTGCCGCAGTACTGCCCGCCCAACACGGTCTTCAGCGCTCTGCTGCAGCGTTGCGTCGAGCCCAACCAGCCAATTCCTTGAACTGAACCCCCTCGCTTCTTTTGATTAATTATCTAATAAAAACGTTAATACAATCAATACATGCCTCTTATATATCTCACTCCTAGAGTCCTTTCATGCGTACGAAGGATTCGGCATTTTTCTTCGTAAGGTTATAACCGTATAGTGATGACATTTAAGACTAAACCCAGCGTTCTTGGTTCGATTGGTTCCCCATTAGTTCAATACACGTCTACTGTCTACTACATTCACAGACACCTTTCATTTCTGCAGCTTAATTCCATGGCTTCGAATTTTTTTATTCAGAAACAGGGATGTTATTGGAATCAACCTAGGCAATCTCAAATATCCTAAGCAATAACTTGGAGATGTGTAACACTTGAATTTGAAGTGAAGTGAAGGGCACTGTGTGCGACAGCGGTGAAACGCTCCCAAAACACAAATATCGGCTAATTCCTTTGTTTTCCTATTAGATTTTCTTGACACCCATACCATCTTTGGAAAATTTGGTGCAGGAATTCTCAACTATTCGAACACACGATTCATAACACACATTCATACCATGGTGTCTTCTCGAGGCAACCGTGCTGCTGTTTAATGAGCATTGCTAAGCAATAGTATAGTAGCTGGTAGTACAGTTGATAGAATACCTGAGGACTGCAGTGCGTGAGCTTCCGGGGAAAAAGTGCTTAAAAATGCTCCCAATAAACCTCTCCATGAGCAGAGTAAGCTATTTTCAGCAAAGTGTATGCCACGTGCCACTGGGTGCCACCGGGTGCCACCGGATGGTCAGTGGGCCAATGTTTCTAAGACGCCGACACGACATTCCAACCTTAGATAACATTCTGCCACATCAGTCTAAGAAGCTGGTTCCTTTGGTGTTGCAGGTGACAGCCGTCGTCAACGGTGCCACAATCGCCAAGCGATCGCTGTCAGCCCTGGCACGGACATCCCAGTTGCCTCACTCTTCAACCACCGCAGACCAAGCAGGACACGATCAGGACCACGGTCATGGCGGCCACTCCCCCGGCCAGCACGACAAGCGAAGCGAGCTGCAGGTGAGACGCTTTCGGAGCCAGCATGGTCGTTTGTGCTGCAAAGACTATGCGTCCCTAGCTTCTTTTTGTCCTGTCTCAGGAGGAGGCCATACGGGAGGAGTTGCTTCGTCAGCGGGCCGCTCCAGCCTCTGAAGCCTTCCTTTCGGCCATCATGGCGGCTGACCAGTACGGCACTGACCTAAACGGCGTGGAGGACAAGCGGTCAGTGTCCTCTCTGGCGCGGCATGGCAACCTCCCCGCCACCATGGAGGACACCAAGCGCTCGCTATCTTCTCTTGCGCGCTACGGTAACCTTCCTGCAACCGAGGACAAGCGCTCTTTGGCATCCCTCGCGCGGTATGGCAACCTCCCTGCCCCTGCTGAGGACAAGCGCTCTCTGTCCTCCCTCGCGCGTTTCGGCAACTTACCTGTGGCGATTGAGGAGGCGAAGCGCTCTGTGGCGTCGCTGGCTCGCTACGGGAACCTCCCGGGTCCGGCCGCGCCGTCTGACAAGCGGTCCCTCGAGGCGCTCGCCCGCGGCGGACTTCTCAACAAGAACTCGCGAATAGACAACAGCAAGCGCAGCGTTGCGGCCCTGGCACGCCTCGGGGAGCTGCCCAAGCGGTGGATGCCACCGCACCAGCGCGAGCAGGCTCAGGATCTACTCGACACTCTGCAGGTAGGAAAGCAGCACGGCATTGTAACAGCGCTAGCCAGCAGGTGAATGCACGTGGCGTGTGACTGTTCTACTTTCTTTCTGATCCACAGCGTGAGCTTGACGAAACCAAGAGGAGTCTCTCCTCACTTGCGCGCACCGGTGACCTCTCCCGTCCCGTTGCGCTGTACGAGGATCAGGATGTGAGTGTTTCCCGCGGAGTTTGAGCAACGATCTTGGTGGTCGAAGATTTAGTGCAGAGCGTGACGTTTATTGACATTCTCCTTGCAGAAACGAAGCGTAGAGTCGCTGGCGCGGACCTGGAGTCGGCCGAGTAAACGCGTCTACGGCTATCCGTCTTACGAGAACGAGTACGCTACCTTTGGCAAGAGAAACGCGGCAGCGCTCCTCAGACAGACGCAGTTCTCCACCCAGGGGACAGTTGAGGACTCTCAGCGAGATGACGGCGACGTAAGAATGATTACGTGTTTATACGTCCATTTGGTTTACGATTTGTCCTAACCCTCTTGCGGTGTGCGCAGCAGCATGGCCAGGCACGCAGGAAGCGCTCGCTGTGGGACGACGATCTGATGAGCGGGGAGGTCGTCCAGAGCCCCTCGGGTGGCGCCGCGGCCGGCCAGGAACAGGACTGGGAGACAATGTGGTCCCCGACGGCCTGGGGCGCGTACTTTGGCTACGGTGACGACGCATCCGTGCAGAAGCGCTTCCTCGGTGAGGGGCAACAGGTGTAGCACCTCTTTGATCTAGACCTAAGGGGATCGTTTGGTACAACCATTTGATATCAAAGCCAATGTGCTCTACCACCGCAACCAGAGCCCGCTGCCGATGACGTTAGAGTATATTTCTGCGTTTTGCTCAATTTCTTCAATTTTCTTTCTTATGTATTTAAACCACGACGTAGTGGTTTAAACGGTTCAATATAGATCATCCCCGCCGAGTAATTGAGATTTTGAGTGTGCAGCTGTTGTGCGCAGATGT